CCTCTCTCTCTACCCCCCTCTCTCTCTCTCTCTCTCTTTCAATTTGGTCTGCTCATTCGATTTCGCAACATTTCAATGTACAACGATAGAGAAAACGGCGATTTAGAATAGAGATTGCGAATTTTACTTTTATGTTGCAATACATGCTTGCCGTTAAAGAAGGTTACTCAGTGATTTATATATCAAAATCATATTATTAAGAGGATGTTGTATATGTGTTCGTTTACCCTTAGGGACGTTTTGACTACATTATTATGACAGACACACACAGACACACACACAGACACAGACACACACACACGCACGGATACACACGCACGGATACACACGCACGGATACACACGCACACGCACACGCACACGCACACGCACACAGACACACACACATACACTTCCACTATCCCACACTCCAAACAAAACAACAAAACAACAACAAACATGAACAGTGAACCATTTTAAACTTTTTTTAAACAGGGGGAGGGGTTGAAAGGACGGGATGACATTGAACATGCAGTATCTTACTTGAATTACTTGAATGTAGAACTGGGGCCTTAGGAAGACGGGGAGCTCCATGCTTCCTCCCCCCTCTTCATGAGGGTCCATTTCAGTGTGGGCAGGCTGATTGTCTGATACAGTATTTCACAGCCTCACACTACCTGATGCTGATGCAGTATATCATATATAGATGCATACTATCAGACTCTTCATCCCTTTATCGTTTCCCATCCTACTGTTTCAGTGTTACATTGGCAACTATCGTGCGCACCGGGGGGCAGAAAGTGAATATCTCACAAGTGTTGGATTCACTGTTAGAAGGTTACGACAAGCGCCTCCGACCTGGTTTTGGCGGTAAGTAGGCCTACTTGTAATAATGCTATTTGCTTTTCTTTCTGTTTTCTAGAAATACAATCAACGAGTATGGTCTTATATCAGTCATGAGCAAGCATGCCCAAGTGGGTGGTTGGAGTGTGCTCTCGTGTGGGTTTTCTTCTTCTTTCCTATCAACCATCTATCGTCCACTTCTCTCCTTCTTTTGTGTGTTTGTTACTCTCTTGCAACTTCTTTAATCGTTGACACTTATATGACCTACTTGTGCTGCAAGTGCCATAAAATACTTTCCAACACAAATTGGTATGTCTAAGTCACGGGCCAGATCAAGCAATTCTGACTATCTCATGGGCCACAAAATGAGAGAAATTGGACGAAATTGGTTAAAAATACCCAATTTCTCGAAAGTGAGACGAAAACTGATACTATAACTATAACACACATAAAATGTAACTCAAGATCATTTCATAGGATAAAATATCAAATTTTTTGCTTCCAGCTGGGCCGGAAATGATTTATTTGAATTTTCAAGACGTACGTTATGTCCTCTCCATCATCAAATCACCGGAGGCCACGTTCATTTTTGACTACTCTGGGTCGACTAGCGGGTGAGACTTAAACTGCTCACTGGCGGTTCTGACATGTGGGCTGTAATTTGAACATACCTACCTTATATAATATAAGGAACGAATTAATTTGTTTGTTTGTTTGTTTAGTATAGGGTTTTACGGCGCTCGCAACTGCATAAGGTCATATGAGC